CCTGCTCCTTTAAGTCTCAGTGATTTTGTCATTAATAGGGAGGTAGAAATACCTTCTTCATAGGACAGTGCAAGAGAGATCAAAACACTCAGGAAGTGAGAAGTGTTGGATCTGGACTAACATGCTCCGCTTTCCTGCTTTGCTGAAAAATGGCAACTTTACCTATTTTCCACATGTGCACAAATGCTGTTCTTTTGCCTCTTGGGGTATTGGCGCAAGTAGATTGTTGGCCACATACTGTTACCAATACAATCATTCAAGTGAAGATGGCTTACATCATTATAAAAGAGATCATCAATAACCAAAAGTCATGTTACAGAGAATACCCTTTCAAACCCAATCCAGGCATAAACAAGATTTGCAAGGTTTAGTCAATGGCATGCTTACTTCAAATAACATCAAATAAAAACTATGAAAAAACCCCTTGTACGGAAGAATCAGGCTAATCCTTTACAATTCACTAAAGTGCACTCTGCCATGCTAAGAGACACACAAAAACGAAACACCCTGGTTGGGTCTGGTTGGAGGAGGGGCTCAGCTTGCTGTCCAGGTGACTGTGTGCCCACCACTGTAAGTCACTGCATCCACGGTCCAGTCTAGGCCAGGGTTCCCAGCCAGTGGGCTGGAATGCTCCCCACAAGCGTCCCCGGGGTCAGGGAGTGGGGTCAGCTTGTCCTGCTAAGACTCATGAAGCACTTTGCAGTTTCCATGCACATCTACTGCTACTAACCGGAAGCCCCTGAGAACAGGGACACTATTGCTCTGTTCCCTGTTCCATCCTCTGTGCCTTCGGAGCTCCACAAATCCTTGGTGAGCATACGAGTGGATCACTTCATGATCCTGTGAGACAAGCAGTGTAGCCCTCGCTACAAATGAGGAAACTGAGGCTCAGGACGACTGACTAGCCACATGGTCCATGGATGGTGGAACTTGAGCGTGGGGTTCTCCTAACCCTGAGCTCAGACACTCCTGCTTCCAAAGCGGAGGTCTAAGCAGGGTTTTGGAAACTGCTTCAAGCGCACATGGCAGAGAGAATTCATGCCAGACAAGGGGTCACCTGGTGATGGAAGAGCTGACAGGGCAAATAGAGGCGGTGGTAACTCAGAGATCGGCACCAGCAAGGAGACACTGCCTCCGTAGGGATGGCAGCACGGAGAGAGGAGGCGAGGTTACCCAAGCTGGGGGCTACAGCCCCACCATGGAAGCTAGAGCCCGTGGGCCTCTCGGGGGTGGGGGGGAGCTGGAGAAAAAGAGGAGCCTCACTCACTGCTATAGGAGGTGTCTGCGATTGGGACACAGGAGAAGTACTCCGGCTTCTTCCTTTCCCTGCCTTCCAGTCTCTCACCAGTGCACGGCCTTGGTCAAACCCAGCTGGAGGCCAGCCGGCAAAGAGACTGAGAAATGAAGCCTGCAGGGGTTGAACAGGAGAAGGCCAGGAATGGGTCCTAGGATGGACAAACAGGCCCGGGAATGGACAGGACACTACTTCATATCCATTCATTAAATAATTAAAAATTATTCATTGAGCATGTGTCATTTGCCAGGCACTATGATAGACACAGAGATATACCAGATGCCACTTTTCTTACTCATCATGGGCAAGAGTTTTGGTGGAAGCAGCTAGAGGAAACAGGGGGGAGGTCTAACTCATCCCTTTGCTGGGGGGAGTGGGGTGTGAAGTGCACCTTTATGGAGTTCATGCAGGTATCAGACTCTACACACGGGATCTCACTCAATCCTTAATTCCTCAACGTAGCTCTGTAGATTACTACAGTAAGGCCATAATGATATGGTATTTTTTTCCTTCCCACTTCACGGATGAAGAAACAGGGGCTCAAAGAGGTTAAGTAAGTTGCCAACGTTATACAGCCCGTGAGTGGCAAAGCTGGGATTCTAGCTCAGGTCCCTCTCACCCTGAACCCCAGCTCCACCCGCACAAGGTGCTGTCCCTGGACTTCTGCTCCTGAAGTCTGTGCAAATGGCCGGTCCCAGCTCCTGCAGCATTCTAGCCCCTGGAAGTGGGGCTTCCAGGGGGACCCCCTGCTCCGGCAAGGACTCAGGAAAGGCCCAGCACCCGAGTCCCAGCTGGGGCTGGTAAGCCCTGTTACCAGTGGTTACAGAAACTGTAAGCCTTGGGGCGCCTGGGTGGCTCAGTCAGTTAAGCATCTGGCTTCAGCTCAGGTCATGATCTCACAGTTTGTGAATTTGAACCTCACATTGGGCTTGCTGCTGTCAGCACAGAGCCTGCTTTGGCTCATTTGTCCCTCCCACCCCACCTCTCTGCCCCTCCCCCACTGGTTCTCTCTCTTCCTCTCTAAACAAAGAAACAAACAAACAGACAAACTTAAAAAGAAACTGTAAGCCCTAAAAAAGTAAAAACACACATTGTGTTTTCACTCATTGGTCTCACTAATGACTTATTGATTCAAACATCTCCTTTATTTATTGAGTTATGACTGCCCCTGGGGTCTATAGCACTGGAAACAGAAATTCTGGTTTAAAATGTTGAGAAGAATTTTCTTAACCTAAAATGAAACTTAAAATCTGAAGGCAAAAACGATTTAAAAAATCAAAAAGAAACAAAATTTAAGTTATATATTCTCAAAGGTGAAAGGGGCCTCTATACACCAGATGACAGTATTTGTCAATTTCTTCTCTTCATTCACTCACAAAGAACCTACTACGTACAGGCTGGCTGGCCTAAGGGAGTGCCACCAAAGTGATACACATGCTTAAGAAATCTGTCAGTGTGGTTCGGGAAGCAGACTGTACACAGAAGTAGAGCTTCAAAGTCTAGAAAGTGGAGACGGGAGGGCTTTGTGAAGTACTATGTGAATTAAAAGCGGGTAAGGCTTGGGGTGCCTGGGTGGCTCAGCCGGCTGAGTGTCTGAGTCTTAAGTTCAGCTCAGGTCATGATCTCACGGTTATCCAACTATAACATCTGGCTCTATGCTGACAGTACAGAGGCTGCTTGGGATTCTCTCTCCCTCTCTGCCCCTCCCCCGCTCATGCACACACACACACACACACACACACACACACACACACTCTCTCTCTCTCTCTCTCTCTCTCTCTCTCTCTCTCAAATTAAAAAAGAGAAGTGGTCAAGCCTTGACCAGTGGACAATGAGAAAGAATCTTTTCATCAGAGGGAACAGCAAGAGTGAAGGCAGTACTCTTGAAAAAGCAAGCACTCAGGGAGGCTGAAAACCGCTTCCTGTCTTGTGGACACAGTGTGAGGAGACTAGCAACAGGAGAAGAGAGAAAGGAGGCAGGCAGGGGTTAGGTTACAGAGGGCTCTCCATGCCGTATAAAGGTACTCAGACACAAGTACCCATGCTGGGCTCTGCAAGGCATCCAAATACAGGGTAGCTCTATTTTCTGAGTCTACAAAAGGCCATTTTATTATGAAAGGACAAAAATTCGTTCCCGCATGTGCTAACCTGTGGCAAGTGGGATACACTGACGATGTGAGGTATGGAGCTGAGGGTCAGATCTGGGTTCACATCTTAGCCCTACCACTTAGTAAGTCAATTGATCTCTCTTAGCTTGAGTTCCTTAGCAAAGTAGAATCAATGCTGTATAGCTCATGGAGTGCTGGGAGGATTACATGAGAAAATGCAGGCATGAAAAGTGTGACGGAATGAAGAGAATGAAAAGATAAGCCATGGACTGGGAGAAAATATTTGCAGAAGACATACCAGATAAAGGATTTGTATCCACAATATACAAAGAACTCTCAAATTCAACAACAAGAAAATAATGCGTTAAAAGTTGGGCAAAAGATCTGAACAGACACCCCAGCAAAAAAGATACACAGATGGCAAGCAGGTGTATCAAAAGTGTTCAACATCATACATCATTAGGGAATTTCAAATGAAAACCATAATGAGATACCTCTACACGCCTACTACAATGGCCCAAATCCAGAACACGGACAACATCAAATGCTGGTGAGGATGCGGAGCAACAGGAACTCTTGTTCATTCATGGCAGGAATGCAAAATGGTACAGCCACTTTGGGAGACAGTTTGGCAGTTTCTTTCAAAACTAAAAATATTCTTATCATATGAGATCCCAGCAATTGCTGTCTCTGGTAGTCACCCAAATGAGTTGAAAACTTATGTCCACACAAAAACCTGCACACAAATGTTTATAGCAGCTTTACTCACAACTGCCAAAACTTAGAAAACAACCAAGATGTCCTTCAATATATAAATGGGTAAACAAATGTAGTATATCCATAGAGTGGAATATCATTCAGTGGTATTTAGAGATAAATTATCAAGCCATGAGAAGACATGGAGGAAACTTAAATGCATACCGCTAAGTGAAACAAACCAGTCTGAAAAGGCTTCAGACTGTGTGATTCCAACTCTGGGATGTTCCAGTATGGACACAGGAAAAAGATCAGTGGTTGTCAGGGACTAGGTTGGGGGATGAACAGGTGGAGCACAGGGGAGTTTTAGGGCAGTGAAACTATTCTGTACGATACTGTGATCAATACCTGTCATTGTACATTTTCAAAATCCCTTCGAACTACATAATACAAAGAATAGACTCTAATGTAAATTGCGGGCTTTAGCCAATAATAATGGCTCATCAATTGTAACACATGTATCACACTCATGCACAGTGTTAATAATAGGGGAATCTGAATGTAGGTGGGAGGGAGGCAGTATATGGGAATTCTTGTATGTTCTGCTCCCTTCCTCTGAAACCTAAGACTGCTCTAAAAAAAACAGTGCTAGGACAGTGCCTGGTATGAAGCAGATGATTAATAAACGGTGGCTCTGGGCTGGATGTGAGGCAGGCTGTGAGCGGAGGGCTGAGATGCTTAGAAATGTAGTGTTCCCATTTGCCCTTCGGTACCAAATGAAAATTCATCTTCTGTGGAGGCAAGGAGCTACTGCATGTACACTTTAAAGGGCAGAATTCAGCCATAGGCTCCCCAGAAAGGGACTGCAAGGGGTAGCAGTGTCCTCATGGTTTATTTATTCCTTCTGGGAGATGCTAATATTATTCTGCATCCCCTTCTCCTTCTAACTTTATATAATTAGAAGGATAAAAAATTGTGTTTATCCACAGGCACATGGAGAAAGATGGGGCAGCGGGCGATGGGAAGGAGTTTATACAAGGTAATTTACAGGCAGCCCAGAATGTTCATTATGCTCTATCTACATTTCGCAAGCCTGAGAAACAGCTAATTTGGTACTCCTCGTTTGATATTCCAGACAAGGAGAGGAGTTGAGAAGAGTCATACAGAGGAGAAGCAGACCCCTCCGTGGTGAGGTGAGCAGAGGCTGGCCCCACCTGGTTCTCAGCTGAGGTGGGAGACGGGCAAGGATGGGCTTGTGGGGAGAAGACAATGGGTGGCAGCCAGAGAAGGGGAGACATTACTGCAATGACTCTATAGAGATCCAAAGAGCTCCCTCGAACACAACGCCAGGGGAACAGAAACACTGTCCCTCTGGAATCAATCTGTTCCTTGTCATTTTAAGACAAAGACCAGTGGTATGCTGCTAAATGTTTAACAAACAGCTCTCTGGAGGGAAAAAAAGGCCCTGATTGGTACAGTCTGCTGATTTCTGTGGTATAAATACTCCCACCACGACTAATTTCAAGCTACCAACATGGCATCAACTAGCTCACAAGATTCCTGAAAATTTAACAATCTGTTCTTGCAAGCTGGTATGAATCCGCTCAGGGCACCACTAACAAGGAACAAAGCCTTACCAGAGCCCATGCTGCTTTGCATGATCTGATGGTTTGGGACCCACTTCCCAGTCCAGCCTCATATCTCCCTCCCTAAACGCTAAGCTGATAACTATGCTCTTTTTTCCGTTGCTCAAATGCACAATGTCTACTCTGACCACAGGGCCTTTGCACATGTAAAGGAACACCCCCAACCTACCTCCATAAGTCTGGGAACATCTCATTCTTCAGGTCTCAGCGCAGTGTTCCTTACTCAGGAAGTTTCCTATGATCTCTTTACTCCAGACTCTGAGAGCTCCCTGTACTTATCTTCAGAGCTCTTAGAACAGCTGTATTTCTGTGACGACCTGATTAACCCGTGGCTCCCGTCTTCACATCCTATTTAGGGAAGGGCACCCTATATACTGAAGTTGTCTACAGTGTGTGGCACCCAGCAGGTACTCAATAATTATTATAATTGTGTCTGAGAGGCTGGGAACCAGAAAGGGGCAGGGCCCCTTACTCAAAAGCCATTCAGCTGATTTTAGGTAACCTGGCCTCGGGTGCAAGGCTCTTTCCTGTGCACAGAACTGGCAGAGTGTGCCTGGATCCTGGGCTCAAATTTCCGCCTCTCCCCAGAGCTGACCCTTTACCCCACCCGCAGATCCATTCTGCCCTGTGCCCAGATTGGCGGCCAGCCCTGTCTTCCGCAGGAGAGACTAAGGGATCAGGTAGACTCTGGGGGCAGGCAGGAGCTCTGTCACAGACCAACCATATCACCTGGGGCATGTTCCTTACCTTCCCTGAGCCTCCATTTATCCAACTATAACATCAAAATCAAATCTTCCTTTGTAGATATATTGCAAGGATTAAAAGAGGTAAGATATGAAAGCACCTGGGGTGTTGTAAGAAATCAAAAACAAATATGTAAATTCGGTTTAATTATTATTCTAGATCAGCGGTCCTCAAAATGTAGTCTCTTGACCAATAGCTTCAGCAATGCCTGGGAGCTTGTTAGAAATGCAAATTCTTTTTTTTTTTTTTAAATTTTTTTTTTCAACGTTTATTTATTTTTTGGGACAGAGAGAGACAGAGCATGAACGGGGGAGGGGCAGAGAGAGAGGGAGACACAGAATTGGAAACAGGCTCCAGGCTCTGAGCCATCAGCCCAGAGCCCGACGCGGGGCTCGAACTCCTGGACCGCGAGATCGTGACCTGGCTGAAGTCGGACGCTTAACCGACTGCGCCACCCAGGCGCCCCTAGAAATGCAAATTCTTGAGTCCCAGCCCAGACCTGCTGAGCCAGAAACTGCAGTGTGGGGCCCAGAAATACATAGTTTAACAAGCCCCCTAGGAGATGCTGATGCGCCCTCACGTCTGGGTGTGCAGATCGGTGTCCAATTATGTAGCATCGAAGTGCCCTGGTTATTCACTTCAATCTGTCTTGGGAAAGACCAAACTATCTTACTGGAATTGGGCCCTGAGACTGGAGACCCAGCCTGTGTTGGGTGGTGAGGCAGAGGAACTTACCCATGGGCAATGAGTAGGATGTTCCCTCCAGGTACCATTTTAGAAGCTTATGGAGGCTCAGCCGCTTGATTCTCATAGTAACCCTGTGAAGTCTCTCTAAATATCATCACCCCACTTGGTGGATGAGAAACTCAAGGCTCCAAGAAGTTTAACAACTCAGGAGAAGATGTAGGATCGAGAGCTTTCTCATGGAGTGGTGGGATCCCTACTCCTCCTGGAACCCCAAGACCCACTGCCCCTATCTACCCCTTCCATGCCAGTTCCAGTCCCAACACTGCCCATCCCACTGTGTTGCCACACCCACCCCGCAGGAGAGGGCTATTTCCTCCTGCATGCAGCTCTCACTCTGCAGACAAACCACAACCTCTCCTCCCCTCCTCCCCCACCAAAAGTAACCCAACAAATGGGTCTTCTTGAGTAGAATCCACTTAAAGAGAGAATCACTTGAGAGAGGTGGGGCTGGGGAGAGAATATCACTTGGATATATGATGTTCTTTCTTCCTGTCTTCCGGGCACTGAGGAAGGTAAAGAAAAGGTGTAATTTTTCAGAGAAAAGAGATTTGGCTCATTACGATGAACTGCGGAGCTGAAAAATCATTTCCTAGAAGGATTGGAAATGTTAATGCCATCATCTTGCACGAGTGGGTAGGGAGGGGGGAGACAATTCTGCTGAGACTGCCTGGGTACCTCATTGAAGCTAAAGGTCTGCACATTCAATCTTGATTGAATTACCATTATCAAGAGAGAGGGTGGCTGGGGAAGGGGAGGGAAACAGCCCGACGGTCTCCATACCTCCTTGTTCTGCCCATTCTGTGCTGGCTGGGTTGGGCGGCTCCCCTCTGCAGGGCCCTACATGGAGCCTTTGGCAGGCAGAGGGGTCAGGCCTGGCAGGGCAGAGCGCCTGGAGAAGTCACAGGCACAGTGGCCTACCTGATGCACTTACTGCTTCATCCTAAGCAGGCTGTCCAGCCTTCACCCAGTCAATGAGGGAACTTTCTGGAGGGAAGGAGGAGGGTTTCTCATTCAGGTTCCTTTGGAAGCAGAAGCTGAGACAAGGATTTGAGCGCAAGTAGCTGGTATGGGAGGTGACGCTGGGAAGGGGAATGGGAAGGACACGGAGAAAGGAAGGCATCTGGTAAGGGATGTGTCTTCAAGCAAGCTGCCACCGCAGATAGCTGTGGCTTCGCCCTGCTGGAAGCTCCAGTGAGTCTTTCCGTCTGAGGGGACAGTGGCCAGTGTGGGAGCACCTGCTCCCTGTCAGTGGCTTGGGGCTGCTCCTGGGGATGGTTCGTGTCCTAGCACCTCCGGCCTGCCCTGCAAGCCGGCAGAGGGGGCTCCAGCGGCCAGAACAAGTCCTGTGATGAACAAGGGCACTGATGACTTCTGCCCTAGCACCCATTTGTGGGACCCAGGCAAGGGCCACCCTCAGAGACTGCAAAGGAGAAGAGGGGGCCAAGTGTTGGGAGCACTGAAAAAGGCACCCATTTTGTCATCCCAGTGCTGTCTCCCAGGAGTCAGCAGAGAAAAGCCTCTGGGTTTATTCCGAATCTGGGTTCCTCCCTGGAAGTGAGAATGGCCTCTCTGAATTGCTCATCCCAGCCTGCCATTTTTCTGAGGTTAGAGCCCTTAGCATGTCCCATCTGCCCCCCACCACCTGCACCAAGAACATGATGTATTTTGATGCAGAAGGACTCCTTGCCAGGGACCATGTGGGACCCTGACAGCATGGGACCAGAGTGCTGGCTGTGGCTGTCCTGTACACTTGCTGTGTGACCTGGGCAGGGACTCTACATCTCTGGACCGCCGCTCCGTGCCTGTGAATTCAAAGAGGCTGGACTAAGTCTCAGCGGGGTTTAAAAGTCTCTGTATACCACATTTAGATTTGGTTTTCATTCATCTTAATTTGCCCTCTGTGCATGGAGAAACTGAGGGGCAGAGAGATGAAGTGACCTCACTGAAGGTCACATGCAGAAGGTCAAGGGCTGAACTGAGAACAGAACCCCACCTCTGCCTGGAGCCATGTCCAATATTCCAGTACACGGGGGCCCAGCGGATGAGGTCTGCAGATTCCCTTATTCTCTGGCTTTGGGTTGGGTGTGGCCAATGGCAAAGCACCTGCAGAAGACCGGATGAGCAGAGAACTCCATCAAGGTGCTCATTTCCTCAGCCCTGCTTGCTGGGGTCACCTGGGGCTGGCTGCAATGCCCCTGAGGGCCACGCCTCCGGCCAGGTCCTCTCTCTTTCTGGGGGTTCTGGCAGCTTCTCCTTGGGAGTATTTAGCCTCAAGCACTGCACTGTTCCTTGCCATCTCCTTAGAACTAGCTCCCACCTTTATACAAACAACACTTGATTAAATTCTGTTCAAATCATCCTACTTGAGGGCCCCATCTGTTTCCTGCTGGGACCCTGATGGATACCAGAAGGGGAGCCTCATTTGATGACATTGGCAACTCCTGAGCTCACTTCCTGTCCTCAGTGTAACTTCTTTCCAGCAGTCCAGGAAGCCCCACCAGAACTTCTGCATGGGAATGCTTTGGTATTCTAGAAATTTCCCCTTGTGCACAGTCTCTGCCCAGAGCTGCTTGAGAGCAAAGAATTCTTTGTTCTGTTTCCCCATTCATTTCCTTCCCTTTCGCTTCCTTGCCGCTTTCACCCCTTGGAAGCCCCACTGTCTCTGTTACTAAATTCTGAACAGCCTCATTTGGAAGAAAGGGGTTATTTAGCCAGGGATTCTCTTTCATTGTTTCATTTGCAGGCAGTGCCCTCCCTCCTTCTCTCCCCCCTTTAATCTTTTCTGTCCTCCTGGCCTGGGCCTTTGTCCTCCACTCCAGCCTCCCGGAGCTCTGGGTTCCTTAAGATGCTAATCACACCCGGTTTTCTTCTTGTGCCAAGAATATTTCTATTTATCAAACCACGGCAGACTTTGCCTTAGGGAGGGACACATACAAGGGCAGGAACACTTCCTGTTCCTCCGGGCTGTTTCTCTTTTCACCTTTCTCGTTTCAATTCCAGGACTCTTTCTTTGCTCGGTTCCCCGGTATGTCTTCCAGGGCTTTTGAATGCACTGGTTGCCTGATACTGTCTCCTTTTGTATTGAGCGCAGACCCACTCCGGCCACAGTATACTGTAGAATTACTGACCCTTGAGATTCAGGCTTGTTCCAGCCCGTCAAGGTGGTATCGTTAGGTGTCTGAATTCCCTCTGCCTCCTCTCGGTTTGCCCAGAAGTGGATGTGAGAAGAGGGTTCCAGGGCACATAGTTTGTAAAGGAGCAGGGGCAGCAGTGAGGAAGGGACAGTGAGATGGCCGAGGAGGTAGCCCCCATAAGGGGGAGTTTTCAAGCTCGTTCCTGTGGTGGACAGCTGCTGCCCAGTCCCTGTGGGGTCTGGAAAAGGTGGAGAACACAGCCTCCGTGGGATGGTGAGGAGCTGGGCTACTTCACCGGCCAGGGAGAGACTGCCTTGGGCACGGAGAGTCCTGCCCCAGCTTTGCAGCAAGCCCTCAGGCGAAGAAAGGCAGACAGGGCAGCACGAGGGGGAATCTAGTGAGGCATCCAGGGCACACACCTCAAGGGGGCGCTCGCTCTCAGGGTCCTGCAGCCGAGGGTAGCATCTCCTTGAATGTTGCACTGTGGGTGCCTTGCCTGCTCACCCTAGTCTTGGTCCAGGATGCCAGACTGCCTGCTGGTGAGGCTGTGGGGTATGGGTGGGACACGTGCTGATAGCATCTTCTGCACCCCCAGTGGTGGAGTTTAATCCCTTTCATTGTTTTTCCTTGCTACCTGGAATCCTGCGTCCAAGGTACAGCTCTCACAGAGGACAGGGCTGTTCTCTTTCTGCCCCTTCCTGTGTCCTGTGTCTCTGCCCCCACCCAGGCTCAGGACTGTCTTCCTTACCAGCATATCACCGTGCCCCACATTGTCCTATTCCAGTCTTTCTCCCTCCAACCTTCCTGCGTATTTTCTATTTTACTTGAGAAGCCAGAAGGGAGAGGGCCATGGCTCAAGCCCTTTGGGGTTTTGCAGAGTGTCTGCTTGCCAACATTAAGTTCCTATTTACTAAGTTCCAGTCATATGCCAGGTTTGGGGACACAGAAGTATAAGACAGTCATCCACCTGCTGTCACACAGCATCTATTTTTCAGTGAGGAAAACAGCCAGTCAACGGACAGTCATCCAAATGCCTCTCAAATCACAGTGATGATAAGACATACATTGTGCTCAAGGAGTGAATAATGAATAATGAGGTTTTGACCAAATGTGAAGGGTCAGAAGAATTCCCTGAGGAAGTGGTGACCAAGTAGGATCTGAAGAATAAGTAGAACTTAGCAGAACAAAGAGAGGAGGGAAGGGCACTTTGATAGAACAGAATGTGCAAAGACCCTATGGCATGAATGAGCACAGAAAGCTCAAGGGACTGAATGAAGTATGGCTTAGCTGAGAAAACTGTGATGGAGAACACACAGTATGGAGTGAGAGTGGAGAGGTGGCTGAGGGCCTTTGGGTAGGAAGTGCTTAGAATGGAAGGAAAGAGGGGCACCTGAGTGGCTCAGTCGGTTAAGCATCCGACTTCAGCTCAGGTCATGATCTCACAGCTCATCAGTTTGAGCCCCATGTTGGGCTCTGTGCTCTCAGCTCAGAGCCTGGAGCCTGTTTCAGATTCTGTGTCTCCCTCTCTCTCTGCCCCTCCCCTGCTTACACTCTGTCTCTCAAAAAATAAATGTTACATTTAAAAAAATGCCAAGTGGAAAAAAATTAGAAATGAAGGAAAGGCAGTTGAAGGGTTTTCAGTAGGAAAATGACAGGATCCAATTCACATTTTGAGGAGGTCCTGCTGGCTTCTGTCAGATACCAGATAGGTGGAAAGTGGGGGTCAGATTAGATGTGCATCATCAGGAAGAAGGCTTGGGCAGAGTTCAGTTGAGAGAGGACAATGGCACAGCCAAGGTACTGGGTGCTGAGGATGAGGAGGGAGTCTGGAAGATACACAGCTTGGCTCGGCTTCTCATCCTTGGCCCCCACAGGCTTTCGCCTGGATGCCTGGCCCAGTCTGGATATTCTTGCCTCTCAGGGAGGCAGGGTCTGTCTCTTCACTATGTTCTAGTCATTTATCTTTTCTTGTCTGCACAACACCTTGGGAGGAAGATATTGTTGTATCCATTTTACAGAGAGAAGACTAAGGTTTGGCATGGTCACCTAAGGTTTCACAGCCTATAATTTAGTGAACCCTACAAAAACTCACAGTCTTATAGGGGGAACAGACAAGGGACCAGGTATTTTAGGACATGGTTTGCACGGTGTTGAAGCAGAGGATGGTCAGAGTGAGAAGCTACGTGTGCCTGGAACGGGACCCTGGGAGCAGAGATTGAGGGCCCAGCACAGGGCTGGCTCAGAGGGAGCTCACGCATCACAGGTCTTAATAATACATTTCCTGATTGTTTGAGCATCTCTTTCCAACACTTCACTTGCAAGAAATCTTCCTGCCTGCATTACTATCTTCCAAGAGACAAATTATAAGTGTTTTCTGATTAGTTCTACCATTCATAGCCCATTCCTAAATCAGCACAGGAAACAGCTAAGCTAAAACTTCTGCCTCTTTCTTCCTTTGCAAGCTGCCTGTATCTTATGCCTTCTTCCTCCAAGTTTTTTTCTTAGGCAATGTCTAGACAGTTAAACAAAACAAAACACTGAACTATGCTAGAAATAATTTGTTATTCAGGGTCCTTTTTTCCCCTCCTTTTTTTTTTTTTTTTTTTTTTTTTTTTTTTTTTTTTTGGCTAGGCTGGGTTATCCTGAGAGTTGAGACCAGAAATGCTATACACACAATTGGTGAGATGTTAAAAGATTCAGGTTGACTACATCATGGTAGACAAAGGCTGTTAGAGACTCTTGTTCTAGTCAGACCACGTGGTCAACATTTTGTATGAGGTAACTTTGTCCTCTCTGTATTTATGTTGCTTTGAAGGCTGTACAGACTGATATTTGGCAGGGATAATACTGTGTGTGACCTGTGCATGGTGTGAAGGTCCATTACAATATCTCCCTCCCTCACCTTCTAGCACTGAATATTAGGCACAGTCACATACAAGTACTGTCACTGTTCTTGTTCAGGCCTCATCATCCTTTGCTGGGACCACTGCAGTAGCCTCTCGACTCGTCCCTCTGCCTCCAATCTCTCCCAGTCAGATCCACCCTCCCAATCAGCTACCCTCATGATCTTTCCAAAATGGACATCTGATCATGCCCATCCCCCACCAACCTGGCTTACTCCATGTCCCCAGATGGGTATTCGGTGATTTCCGGTTAAAAGAAGGTGGGATAACTTATCCATGCTGCTCATCAGTGACCCTGAGAAACTAACTCTATGGCTAAGAGTAATGGTGCTAGGCACCGTGAAAGGGTTTATGTAACTTTTTAAAACAACCCTATCTTTATTATTTTTACCATCTCAAAGGTGAAGAAACTGAAGCTTTGAGAGGTGAGGTAATGTGTTCAGGGCACCACAGCTGGGGTAGAAGCCCAGGCAGTCTGACTCCAGGGGGGCTCTAACTGCTCTGCACCACTGCCTTCATCAAACTATGCATCAGAGGTGATTATAGAAATGTTAAAGCTCATTGTTGAGCAAAAGGCAAAGACCTTGCATGCCTCCCTACCTCTGCCCAAAACATGCTCTCCTGCAGGCTCAGTGCCACTAAGGGTTTTGGCCCACACGGGCCCTGCTTGGCAGGTGCTCACCTTATAATACCTGCAGCCCTAGAAGTGGGGTCTGGCCGAAGTCATGATGCCTCAAACCGTGCTTCCTGTGTGACCAGAGTAGCCTGGGGCCCCTATGGGCCCCGAGCTGGCTGCTCCCCAAACCCTGAGGGCACTTACAGGATATGATGTTTCCATATCGATTCTTATTGCGGTTTTCATCCTCTTTGGCTGTGTCCCATGACGCTGTCTGCCCCTCTGGCAAGGCCTAAAAGAGAAGGAGAGAGTGGTTAGAATGGCCTGCAATAAGGACTTTATCCATGTGCTGCTGAGCCAGGTGGAGAAAGAGACCCATTGGGATGGGTGACTCAGTATAAAGGGTTCTGTGTTCTCAGATGTGACCTGGAGGGAACACAGACTTGGCCCCTCCATGGACTTAATCACTTGTTCATGACTCAAATGCCATTGATGTCTTGTGTGTGTCGTGGGCCCAAATCTGGCCCAGCAGGGGAGTCATTTGTTCATTAACCCATTTGTTCATTCGACATATTTATTGAGTCCCTAATATGCATCTGGCACTGTTCTAGGTACTCAGGATACAGAGAAATAGACAAAGTCCCCCTCAAGCTTCCAGTCAACTGGAAGACATCACAAATGAAAGAGCAAACATATGGGATTTTAGATACCAGAAAGAGGCAAGAAAAGAAAAAAGCAGGGAAAAGGACAGTGATGGAAGATGTAAATGTCTTCAGATGATACAGTCTTGGAAGGCTTCTCTGAGAAGGTAACAGGTAACTAACTTCTTAATGATGCAAAAAATCCAGTCATGCCAAAAGCAGAATGTGTCTTCCAGGCAGAGGGAATAGCAGGTGCAAAGGTGGTAACAAATGACCATATTCAAGGATGAGGCAGGGAGGGTGGTGATGGAAGCAACTGGACAGGCTGGGACAGTTCAGGTTATATAAGGCATTGTGGTCACCAGTAATGAGGTGGGTATTACTCTAAGTAAGATGGGAAGACCACTGAGAGATGTGAGTCGTGCAGTTGGCTGATCTATGTTTTACAAAGCATGCTCTGGCTCACATACGGGATACAGGCTCTAGGAGGCCGGGGGAGGAAGCAGGGAGATCAGTTAGGAAGTTGTTGCAATAGTCTAGGTAAGAGATGATGGTACCTTGGACCTTTTACCAGGATGGTGGCAGTGGACGTGGTTAGAAGTGATCACTGTCAGGACGTTCCACTGAATATTGCAGATTTTGGTTCCCTCAGAAACACACTGGGAAACAAGCATTTGAATATAAGATCTTATCTGGGAGGCAATCCTAAGGCCCATGGGTGGAAGACTGGGGGAAGTGAGGCAATCAAGGGAAGGAAGTTGGTCCAGGGTACCTCAATGAGCAGGTCACTGCTGTGTCCACCCAGGGTTTGATCTCACAGGCCCATCTCATGCTGGAGTATTTACCCATCAATTCCGATATACCATTGGTTGAGGACAACTCTTAGGAAATCCCTTGGCACTTCTGCTATGCTCTGCAGGCAAGGTGTGCATATTCTTTTGTGTTAAGGAAGTCCTTAGGCGAAAAGCCACAGGTGCTTCTGGAAGGCGGGCATTGAGTGAGCATGAGTGGGAACACTGAGAGTAGAGGGGACATGGGCAGGCCACCAACACATCTGCTGTAGGTGTGGACTATGAGGGAAGGGGGTGTGAAGGCTGACTCTCAGACTGCTGGCCTGAAGAACTGAGTGGAGGGCCAGGCCATTTGTGGAGATGGAGAAGAAACAGATGGGGAGAAAGAGAGGTGGGGAGGCGGGAATTCTGTGCTGTGTTTTGGGTACACAAAGTGCTCAGAACAGTGGCTCGCCCTTGTCGAGGACAGTGTGCTTCTTGAGATGTTCCGGCAACAGCAGCCATGTTGAGGCTGATTACTTGACGTCCAAGCTGAGATGCTGAGAAGGAGGCTGGAGGCAGAGGTTCACAGTCACAGGGGGAGGGAAGGTATGGGAGTCATCAGTCCAAGAGGAGATAGACAAGTCAACCTCCATGTGGAGCAATCAACAGAGTTATGAGCCAAGCGTCACGGAGACACAGGGGAGGGGGCAGTCACTTACACAGGGAAGGAAGGTGGGCATTTAAGGGAGCAGGAGCCACTTTAGGAAGTCTGCAGAAGCATGAAGGCCAGGCTACATTTTGATTTCTGTTCCCACCCTGCACCCTGTAGAGTGGGCTGAATGCCCTGCTCATGGGCGCCACACTGCTTCTGAGGCTGGATTTGCATTGCCCTCCATCTACACAGCACCCTGTCTGCAGTGCAGGGGAGCGGAGCGTCCACTCATCTTGTTGCACTGGCCTTGCCTTTGCTCATCCATCCCTTACCATGTTCAGCCAAGACAAGCAGTGTGTGAGCCGAGTGGTCAGAAATTCCACCAATCAGTGGGCTGTGTTTTATAGGCAAGCGGGACCACTGTCTGTTCAAAGCCCAGCCCATCCACGATACCCCCTTTCTTGCTTCCAGGCTCCCATGTGTTAATAAGCCAATCTGGGTGGGTCTTCTAGAGAAGAGGCTGGCAGACTTTCTGTAATGTCAGAGAGGGGGCAGCTTGGGCTTTGCAGGCCACGTTCTCTGTTGTAACCACTCATCCTCTACTGTTGCAGAGCAAATGCAGTCACAGACAAAATGCAAACACATGGGCGTGGCTTTGTTCTGATGAAGCTGTGTTTACCACGGTGGGCGTTGGACTGGATGTAGCCTGTGGCTGTATGTTGCTGACCTTTTTTTTCTAGAAGCATAACCATGATCCTCAACTACGTGGTGCCTGGGTAGGTAGAACTGGTGCTCATTCTGCTATCTGGCTATTCCAGGTGGAATGCAGACGGGGTGGGAGGCCCTTGAGGGGGCTGCCTGGCTAAGCTGTGTTCTCCGACTTAGCTCGCCCCAGGGTTTCAGACCGGGGCGCCCGAGTGTCTTCCCAGCCATTAAGTGATCAGCATTTTGTTGTTTGTGTGGCCTAAACCCTCAGGCACCCTGGAGGAGAAGCTAAGCAGGTTCTAAGCTCTGGGCACCAGTCTCTGCCCTAAACGTGAGTGTGACAAAAGTACTATGGAGGTAAGAAAGTGCTCATTTACAAATGGAGGGCCCGTCTCTCCTTTTTCTCCTCTCTCCTCCTCCTCTTACTCCTCACTACAAATGACCATCACCCCGCATCCCTCTTGCACCAGCACGGGACATCTCTAGACCTCATGTGGTTCTTGCTTTTGCATGTTAACTCCTGGAACAAAGGTCCCAGCCCTGGGCCTCCTCCCCCAGCCAGGTAGTGCCAGATGTTTCAGACAAGCTGCCAAGCCTGTACATTCTTGACTCTCTGCAATGGTGAGCTGTGCTGTCTCACTGGCAATGTTGGGCTTCTCAAGGTTTGAGCTGATACTCTGGGGGTGGATTTT